CCCCTTATTATTATTTTTAGGGCCCCCACCCACCACTCAGGGGTGGGGGTCGGGTGGGAGAGTAGGTCCCCCCTTATTGTTATTTTTAGGGCCCCCACCCGCCGCACAGGGGTGGGGGCCATAGAGGGGGAGGACTGTAGGTCCCCCCCTCATTATCTTTATGGCCCCCACCCGCTGCCCAGGGGTGGGGGCTGGGGGGGGAGGACAGTAGGTCCCCCCCCATTATCATTTTGGCATGGGGGCCGGAGAGGGGGAGGACAGTAGGTCCCCCCCTCATTATCTTTATGGCCCCCACCCGCCGCCCAGGGGTGGGGGCCGGGGGGGGGAGGAGAGTAGGTCTCCTCCGCCCCCCCTTCAACCAGAAAGAGTCCCTGTGGGTTTTAAAATTCGCCTGCCTATTGAAGTCTATGGCGATTCGCCCGGTTCGCGAACATTTGCGGAAGTTCACGTTCGCGGTTTGCGAACCGAAAATTTTGTGTTCGCGACATCACTACCCAGGAGGTGATTTGGGAGAAACCTTGTAAACAGCGCATATTCTACATGCCCCCATGTACTCCTTGACATAACCTCCAAGTGACGGCCACCAAAACTTTCTAGTAATGGCAGAGAGGGTTTTGTGTATCCTGGGATGTCCAGCTGTCACATTATCATGTTATAACCTGACTACCTCAGTTCTCTGTGATGGTGAGACAAACAGTTTAGTGGATGGTTTCTCTATTATGGCACAAAGGAGCGGAGAAGACAATTCTGAAACTGTTGTAGCAGTGAGACTCTCAGGAGGTACAATAGGAGACTGTCAGGATTACTAATTGATCCAGCACGCAGAATTGTGTCACACCTAGGACTAAGGATAACGTCTAACCAGACCTTAGAATGGCCGGACTTAACGTGTCCAAGAATAGTTAGAATACTAGCCGAGGTCAGGGATACAGAATCAGACTCAAGGATGAGAAAAAGCCATAAGTCAAGGATGCCAGAAATCAGGGAAGTCAGAACAAAGCCAAAGTCAAATAAATATCAAGATCAGGAATGCACTCTAGGATTACCATCAGGCAGAAACCACGACAGGGCAATGAGAGAAGGTAAAAATAAGTTTAAATAACCCTACTGTTATTCCGATTGACAGTAATCGACCTTTGACCCCAAAACGTGCTCGAGCAGGATGTCACATACATGCCGACGTCATCCTCAACGTGGGCGGTCATGGGGCTACAAAGTAGCATAGATCCGCAGCGGCCGGCATCCTTAGACATGCTGGGTTTATCAGGTATCCGGGCACACGGCTATTCCTGTCAGGACGGTAAATACCATTAAACACATTACCATAAGTGGATGAATTCATTACATTACCCCACACCTGAAGACCGCCCACCGGGCAGGCAGGGCCCGGCTTGAGTGGAAACTTGGGTTGGAAAGAGCGAACCTTATGGCCAGCATGGATATCAGAAGCAGAAACCCAAGAGCGGTCGGCAGGTCGATACCCATTCCAATCAATGAGGTACTGCAATGAATCACAAGAGAACCTGGAATCAATAATGGAGGAGACCCTGTAGTCCTCCTGACCGGAAACAACCAAAGGAGGAGGGGGAACTACCAGGACTTTATATTTAATGTAAATAAGCGGTTTGAGTAAGTATACATGAAACGAATTAGGAATGCGCAAGGATGCAGGACGGGTCAAGGAATAAGAAACAGGGTTAAATCTCTTAAGGACACGGTAAGGACCAAAAAGCCTAGGAGCAAATTTCATGCTAGGAACTTTCAGTCTAATGCTGCGAGAAGACAACCAAACCTGGTCCCCCACCTGGTAGACTGAGTTAGCATGCCGCCGTTTATCAGCATGGAATTTAAAGCGAGCAGCCGAAGCCTCAAGAGCGGAGTGAACCCCAGTCCAAGCATCACGAATAGAGGCCAGGTGGTTATCCAGAGCAGGGATAGCTGTATCAGAAAAAACATCCGGGAGAATAGTAGGATGGCGACAGGTATTGACAAAGAAAGGACTGTGCGTCATGGGTAGCGTTATTCCTGGCAAATTCTGGCCAAGGCAACAAATCAGCCCAGTTAGACTGAGTACTGTTCACAAAGCAACATAAATACAGCTCAAGCGATTGGTTAGTTCTTTCAGCCGCAGCATTGGTCTGGGGATGGTAAGCAGAGGAAAAAGACAAGTTAGTGCCCAAACTTTTTATTGAATGCCCTCCAGAATCCTGACACAAATTGGGAACCCCTATCTGACACAATATTTTGAGGGATCCCATGAAGCCTAACAATGTCGCATATAAATATGAGGACTAGATCCTGAGAAGATGGTAATTTTTTAAGTGGAAAGAAATGTGTCATTTTGGAAAAGCGGTCAACTACCATAAGGATGGTGGTATAACCATGACGACTAGGTAGGTCCACAATGAAATCCATATACAGATGAGACCATGGAACACTGGGTATGGGAAGTGGATGTAATAATCCACAAGGAAGTGTATGTGGAACCTTAGAGACTGCACAAACAGAACATGCTTCTACATAATCCTTAATATCCCTTCTGAGTGACTCCCACCAAAATGATCTGGAAATAGCGGATACAGTCTTATTTATACCCGGATGCCCAGCAGTAACATTGTCGTGGAATATTTTCAACACCTCTTTCCTTTCATGTAATGAATTAATACATTTACCTAAAGATTTATTGTTAGGTGCCTGTGACTGAGCCACCATGATAGCACAAAGCAATGGTGATGACAAGGAAAGGACAGTAGATGCTATGATACACTAAGGAGGAATGGGTGACATCTCTGGTTCTAGTTCTGACTCTTTGTCAGATTGCCTAGAAAAGGCGTCAGCTTTAAAAAAATTTGGACCAGGACTGTAAGTAATAATAAAGTTAAAGCGGGACAAGATGTTTGGCATCACCAATATAGGCCAGATTATTGTGATCAGTTATGATCAGCAGGGGTTCCTTGGAACCCTCCAAAAGATGTCACCACTCCTTGAGCGCCAAAATAATGGCCAATAGTTCTCTGTTACCTATGTCATATTTACGCTCAGCTGTAGATAACTTTTTGGAGAAGTAACCACAAGGATGTATCCTGACTCTCTCTCTGGGAAAGAACAGACCCGACACCTGTCTCAGAGGCATCGACCTCCAGTATAAAAGCCTTGCTAGTATCAGGATGTATCAATATGTCTGCGGAAGCAAACATTTTTTGAGACGTTCAAAAGCCTCTTTGGCTTCTTTGGACCATATCTTGCAATTAACACCTTTGCGTGTCATATTGGTGATGGGGGCTATTACTGAAGAGAACCTCCTGTAATAATTGGAGAAATTATTTGGCTTATTTGGACCATATATTGCAATTAGCCCCTTTGCGTGTCATATTGGTGATGGGGGCTATTACTGAAGAGAACCTCCTGTAATAATTGGAGAAACCAATGAACCTTTGAATGGCTTTTAACCCGTTGGGTAATGGCCAGTATGGAACAGCCTCTAGTTTGCGAGGATCCATCTGGAAACCAGAGGCGGATATATTATACCCCAAAAACTGTACTTCAAGTTGATCAAACATGCATTTCTCAAGTTTACAATAAAGACCATTCTTGAGTAAAGTTTGTAATACTTGTTTGACAAGATCATAATGGATCTGGAGGTCGGAGGAATAAACAAGGATATTATCAAGGCATACAAGTGCAAAAGAGTAAATGTAATCCCTTAACACATCGTTAATGAAGTCCTGAAATACGGCCGGGGCTTTACATAACCCAAAGGGCATAACAAGATATTCATAGTGTCCATTTCTAGTGTTAAATGCCGTTTTCCACTCGTGATCATTCTTAATCCTGACCAAATTGTACGCACTCCTAAGGTCAAGTTTGGTAAAGAACTTAGCACCCTGGAGTCTGTCAAAGAATTCGGATATAAGGGGAATGGGATAGGCATTTTTTATGATGATTTTGTTTAATGCCCTATAGTCAATGCAAGGACGTAATTCTCCATCCTTTTTAGACATGAAAAAAGAAACCTGCACCAGCAGGAGATGATGATTTGTGTATGTGGCCCTTATTTAAGGCATCGCTGATGTACTCCTCCATGATTTTACTCTCTTATGGGGATAGAGCATAAACCACCCCTTTAGGAGGCATGGCCCTGGGCAACAGATCAATGGAACAATAATATGATCTATGTTGAGGTAGAACATGATGCCAGAAATCAGGGAAGTCAAAACCAAAGCCAAAGTCAAATACCAAAATATCAACATCAGGACTACCATCAGGCAGAAACCATGACAGGGCAATGAGAGAATGTAAAAATAAGTTTAAATAACCCTCCTGTTATTCCGATTGGCTGTAATCGTTTTTTATCCCCAAAACGTGCTCACGCGGGACGTCATGTGCAAGCTGACGTCATCCTCAATGTGGGCGGTCATGGGTCCACAAAGTGCGTATGGAATCCCTAGACATCCCAGGTATCCGGGCGCACGGCTGTAGTTGGGCCCAACTATTCCTGTCAGAACACCATTAAACACATAACCATAAGCGGATGAATTTGTTACAGAAATGTCTCTTGGTCAGAAATCTCATCTGTATCATACTGTCTAGATAATGCGTCTGCCTTAGTGTTCTTAGTGTTCTTAGTGCCTGGTCTATAAGTAATAACAAAATTAAAACGTGAAAAAAAAGTGACCATCTAGCCTGCCTGGAAGACAATCTCTTAGCGTCCCCAATATAAGCCAGATTCTTATGATCCGGAAAAAAACAAAGGTGGCTCTATGGAACCTTCTAAAAGATGCCTCCATTCTTTAAGAATAATGGGCAATAACTCCCTGTTTCTGATGTTGTAGTTTCTCTCAGCAGGATGTCCCCTACATCTGTTTTTGACTCATCAACCTCTAAAATAAAAGGTTTGGCGGGATCTGGATGTGCTAAAATGGGTGCTGAAACAAATAATGATTCAAATTTTTAAAGAATTCTTTATTTTCAAGGTTTCAACTGTAAACATGGGGTACAGAATAAAGAGAAGGGGAGGGGGTACAAGTGCAATCCTTCTAGTTGGGTGAGTTACAATTTGATTTAACAGGATTAGGGGTAAAGAGTGGGACACCATTGTTGTTGGCGTGTCGGTTGACGATTGTGAAAGTATCGTGCACTGGCGTCGAGGGGGTGGGCTGTGAGTCGGTGGCCTTGTGTGTGGGTTGGTGCCTTGTACGTCTGGGGGGTTGCAGAGATGGGTGAGTGGGTGAAGGAGAGGGGGTTGTGTTGCCGTTCGTGGCTCTCTGCGGTCTCAGTGCAGCCTGTTCCTTGTGGCCCGGTGTGGTGTTGGTCGCGGTGGATGGGCTTTGAGCTGTCAGAGTCCGTAGTCTGTGGTGGGCGCTCCAGGGTGGGAGCCCGCCCGGGGGGGGTAAGAGTTCTGTGGTGAGGGTTGGGGAGGAAGGAGCGTGAGGATGTTGGTCCTCAGTGGGTGTAGGGTAGTGAGGGGTTGGTGTAGTGAGGGGGCTGGAATGCTGTTGTTTCCAATTGAGTTTCCTGTTGTTTGAGGTGGGGATTGAGGTGTCGGGTCGGAGAGGGGATAATATCGATTGTTCAGTTGTCAGTAGTCTGGCGGGGGGTTTGGGGGTTAGGGAGTGTTCATGAGGTGGTATCTGAGAGGGGACCTGGGGGAGGGGAGCGGGACGGCTGTCTTCAGGATTTGGGGGGATTTAGGGGTGGGTCAATCTATATATGACCCAGGGGTCCCATATTTTGTTGTGGTGATGGGTCGTTTTGTGAAGTAGGGCCGAGAGATTGTCCATCTCCCTTGCTTCCTCTATTTTTTTGATGGTCGTGTCCAGGGTGGGGATGTGTTTGTTGCCCCATTGTTCTGCGATTGTGCGTCGCGTGGCCAAGGCGATTTTGGCGAGTAATTTATTTTGTGCCCTAAACAGGGGGGTATGGGGTTTGGATAGTAGCCAGATCCATGGGTCTAGTGGGATCTCCGTGTGGAGGAGAGCTGATGTTAGGTCCGCTACCTTTGTCCATAGTTGTGTTATGTGTGGGCAGTGCCACCAGGCGTGAATGTAGGTGCCCTGGGACCCGCAGCCTTTCCAGCAGTCGTCTGTGGTCGAGCATTTCATTTGCTTCAACCGCAGGGGCGTCAGGTACCACCGTAGGAGCGTTTTATAGGCCTGTTCTCTGTGGTTAACGCATATGGTGAGGGAAGCAGTTGCCTCCCATATTGCCGGCCAATCTGACGGGTCTTTGGGGGGGCCGATATCCCTTTCCCACGTTTTGGTGTATGCGAGTGCTTCTATCGGGGAGGCTGAGTTCAGTTGGAGGTAAATGCAGGAGATTTGGCCTTTGCGTATTGGAGAGTGTATGCAGTCGTTTTCGAATTGGGTCATGGTGGTGGTGGCTGTAGAGGAGTGGAGGGGGTGTTGGAGGAAGCTGCGGATCTGAAGGTAGCGGAAGTGGTCAAAGGTGGTCAGTGGTGTGTGCCCTGGTAGGTCTGAGAATTGGAGCAGTTGATTGGATTGGAAGAAGTGGTAGAAACGGAAGAGCTCATTGTCTTCGAAGTGCGCGAAGTCTCTGGGGTTCATCCCGGGGGGGAATTGTTTGTTCCGCAGGATTGGGGTTAGGGGTGAGGGGGAGTTAACCAGTTTGGTTTTCTGTATGGTCTTATCCCATACCTGAAAAGAGGTGTTAAGGGCTGGGGATGTTTGTGGAGTGGAGGGTCTGGATTGTTTGGGGACCCAGAGGAGTAGTGAGGGATGGTCCCTTCCCAGCAGGTCATGTTCGAGATCTACCCATATCTTTAATCCTGGGGGGGCGTGTAGGTGTTGTATTTGTGTCAATTGGGCCGCCTGGAAATAGTGTAGAGAGTTGAGGAGCCCCAGACCCCCTGTTTTCGTGGTTTTGTACATTGTGGATCTCCGTATCCTGGGTTTTCTGTTAGCCCAAATGAAATTGTCAATTTTTGTTTGGAGTGCTTTGAAGTCCTTTCGGACAATGGGGATGGGTAGGGTCTGGAATAGGTACAGGAATCTTGGGAGTAAGTTCATTTTAATAGAGGCTATCCTCCCCATCCATGAGATGGGCATGGTTGTCCAGGTCTGGAGGTCTGTATAGGCTTGGCGAATAAGGGGGGGGTAGTTCAATTCGTACGTGGAGTCGGGGTTGGCCGGCAGAGATATGCCGAGATATGGGATGTCAGTGTCGTTGTACTTGAATGAGTGTGAGCGTCGTAAGTCGTTCAGGTCACGTTCCGGTATCCCAATTGGGAGTGATTCAGTTTTGTCTAAGTTTAATTTGTACCCTGAAACTGCTGCGTATTCATCCAATAGAGCCAGTAGGGGGGGTATGGATTGGCGTGGGTTTGTAAGTGTGAGGAGAATATCATCGGCATAGGCCGAAATTTTGTATTCGTTTTGTCTCACGGTGATGCCGGTGATTAGTGGGGATTCGCGTATTTTTTGTAATAAGGGTTCAAGGGAGAGGGCGAAGAGGAGCGGGGATAGGGGTCAGCCCTGTCTGGTTCCGTTTTTAATCGTAATCGATGTTGGGCTGGCGTTGGGTATAAGGAGGGTGGCCGTTGGGTTGTTATAGAGGGAAGTCAGGGCCTCTATCAGAGGGTCGGGGATGCCAAATATTTTGAGGACGGTGAATAAGAAAGGCCATAGGAGGCGGTCAAATGTCTTCTCGGCGTCCATGGACAGGAGGAGGGTCGGGATCTTCCGGTGTGTTGCTACCCAAATGAGATCTAATGTGCGTCTGGTGTTATCGCTAGCCTGTCGGGAAGGGATAAATCCCACCTGGTCGGGGTGGATTAATTTAGGTAGGTGGTATTGGATGCGATTCGCCAGGAGTTTTGTGAAGATTTTGATGTCTACATTGAGGAGGGAGATCGGCCTGTAGTGGCCTGGGTCTGTGAGTGTTTTGTTGGGTTTCGGGATTAAGCTGATGTTAGACCTCAACATGTCAGCAGGTAGTGTCTCTCCCTCGAGTAATGAATTATAGAGCGTGGCGAGATGTGGGAGGAGGACCGCTGAGAATGTTTTGTAGTATTGGCCCGTAAAGCCATCCGGGCCCGGGCATTTATGGGGTTTGAGTGATTTGATTGTGGAGGCAATCTCTTCTGTTGTGACGGGTGAGGTGAGGCGTTGTTTGGTTTCTTCCGCTAAAGCAGGGAGGGGGATGTCTCGGAGGTAAGAGTCGATGGTTTGGGGGTCAATCGAATGGGTTTGTTTATGTTTAGGATGTGTGCTATGGTCATAGAGTTCCGTGAAGTATGCGGCAAAGGTGGTGGCGATTCTGTCAGGGGTGATGTGCCTGGTGCCTCCAGGTGAATGGATTTTGTCGATACTTTTGGTTCACGTTTTTTGGCGGAGTTTGCGGGCTAAAAGCGAGTCCGCTTTATTGGATTTATCGTAGAATAGTTGTTTAGTCCATAGGAGCGCCTTTTTGGAGTCTTTGGCCATGAAGGTTTTGATAGCCCGTTGGTGGGTTTGTATTTGCGCTAGCTTGTCTAGGGAGGGATCGATTTTGTGTTGGGCCGAGGCGATTTTCAGGCAGGTTATATGGTGTTCTAATTCTTTGAGCTTCTGTTTTTTGAGTCTGGTGGCCTGTTCAATTAGTGTGCCTCTGACCACCGCCTTATGTGCTGCCCATAGTGAGCTGGGTGAGGTGACCGAGGTCGAGTTTTCGGTAAAATAGTGTTCTATGGCTGTGCGTGTGTCCTTCGCAATGTCCGGTTTTTGAAGTAGAGTGGGGTTTAGTCTCCAGTTCCAGGTTTTAGTCGCTAGGGGGATGTCTAATTTTAGGGTGATTTACGCGTGGTCGGACCATGCTATGGTGCCAATTGTCGTGTTTGTGGCCTGAGGTAGTAGGGAGGGGGAGAGTAGGAACATGTCAATTCTAGAGTATGAGGTGTGAGGGTGCGAATAGAAGGAGAAATCTAGAGTGTTGGGGTGTTGTAGTCTCCATATGTCGAGGAGGTTCGTGTGGAGTACGAAGTTGGAGAGTAACTTGTCTAATCTTGTGGGGTAGGGCGTTGGACCTCTCGCCTGGGGTGTGGGGCGTGTTCGGTCTAGCTTTGGGTCCATAGTTGCATTAAAATCTCCCCCTACAACTAGGTGGTGGGAGCTGAACAGTTTTAGGTGTGCTGTGAGGGTCGTCCAGAAGGATGGGTCAGGGGTGTTCGGGGCGTAAACGGAGGTGATCGCGTATTTATGGGTCCCGAGATGGTCCACTATCGTGAGATATCTGCCCTTGGGGTCTGGGATAGCGCGCGTAAAGTGAATCGGGCAGGATTTGTGGATCAGGATAGCCACTCCGTTGTGTTTGCCGCGGTAGGAATTAGCTAGGTGGCATGTGGTGTAGTGTTTGTTGCGTAAAGGGAAGGGTCTGGAGTCTACGTAATGTGTTTCTTGTAGGAGGATCAGGTCCGCCCGCGAGCGGGTCGCCCACCGCAAGAGTTGATGTCTTTTAGCTGGGTTGTTGAGCCCCTTACAATTGAGCGACACGCACGAGAGCGACCTGGGCATCTCGGGTGTGGTGGGTGCGATGGAGGTGTGGGGGTCGGATTGGTCCCCGGGGGGGGAAATGGGTAGCTGCTCGGGGGGGTTATGGGGTAAGGGGCGGGGGGGGTTGGTGTCTCGGGCGGGTGTGTGCGGGTGTTGGGGGTCGGGTTTGTAGAGTCCCTGGTCTTATGGGTTCTCTGCCAGGTGGTGTCGTTCGGGGGGGGGGGTGTTGGTGTAGCCTGAGGGGTGGGGGTCGTGAGTACGTTGCGCCCTGTCACAGGCGTTCGTGTGGGAATGATTCAAATTTTTAAACGCCTCCATTGCTTATTTGGGCCATGAATTACAGCTCCTTTTCGATAGGCTATAGGAACGATTACAGAGGAGAAGCCTTTAATGAATCTGCGATAGTAATTTGCAAATCCAATAAAGTGCTGTATGGCTTTAAGTCCTTTGGGTAATGGCCACTGTAATACTGCTTCCAGTTTGCGTGGATCCATTTTAAAACCAGATGGGGATATAACATATCTGAGGAACTTTACTTCGGCTTGATCAAACTGGCACTTTTCAAACTTGCAGTATAGGCCATTTTTCAGCATGGTTTTAAGTACTGTTTGCATTCGTGATGGGTATGAAGGTCTGGAGAATAGATGAGAATGTCATCCAGGTACACCAACACGAACGTGTAGAGGTATTCTCTGAGGACATCGTCAATTAGGTCTTGAATTAGAATGTTCCATTCTGGTATTGAACGCTGTCTTCCACTCATGCCCATCCTTAATTCTGACTAAATTATACACGCTCCTAAGGTCGAGTTTAGTGAACACTCTGGCACCTTTGAGCCTGTCAAATAGTTCAGAAATAAATGGAATGCGGTAAGCATTCTTGATAGTTATTTTATTGAGACCCCAGCACCAGCAGGAGAGGAGGATCTCTGTATGTGGCCCTATCTCAGAGCCTCTTTTATGTACTCCCTGAACGTAGCCATGCGCACCTGAGCAGGGAATCCCCACGACGGCTCGCACTTATGCCTGGTCTTAAGGGCAAGCTGTCGTAAAACAGGTAGGTTTCTAAATGAGGACCACTTGTGTATGTATAATATATTTATTTTATTTTATTTTTTTTATTTTTTTACAGCCTGGGGGACTGCCTGACAGCTCAGACAGTCCCCCTGCTGGCAGCTCCTAGAGTCCTATTGCGTCGATGTGATCATGGTGATCACATGGCCCTGGAGGGCCGGGGTGGCCGGAACTGCTGCAGGTTGACTGCTGGGGTCTCCAGCAGTCACCCCCAACCATGATCGCTGGTCCAGGTAAGTCCATGGCTCCTATTTGCCTTGGGCGTACTAGGTACATCCGTGGTCCTTAACAACCGTTTATTGTCGGACGTACCTAGTACGTTCACAGTCATTAAGGGAATATACATAGATATATATATAATTTCATTCTAGGTGTATTTTGATATATATATATATATATATATACACTAATATATATGTAAATATATATATATATATATATATATATATATATATATTATATACTGTTTTTCTAGCCATTAAATGATCTTTCTAAAGATACCATTATTTTCATTATATCATATAATTTACTATGAAATAAATGATAAAATATGATGGAAAAAAAACACACTTTTTCTAATCTGTTACGCATCTACAACCGCCCCAAAACACCTATGCTAAATAGTTTCAAAATTTTGTCCTGAGTTTAGAAATACTCAATGTTAACATTTTCTTAGTTTTTTGGAAAGGTATAGTAGCAGCAATAAGTACAAGAAGCACTTTGCTATTTGCAAACCATTTTTTTTTTTCAAAATGAACGCGTTACATTGTAACACTGGTATCTGTCAGGAATCCCTGAATAACCCTCCACATGTATATATTTTTTTAAAAGAATATATATATATATATATATATATTGATATCAAATTACAGTTAGAATAAAATTACATATATATGTATGTAGTACCTATACTAAAAAAAACATCCCTCGACCCGTCCACCCCCTCTAACTATCGTCCCATATCCCTGCTCCCTTTTTCCTCAAAGCTTCTGGAAAGACTTGTCTTTACCTGTGTATCTCATTTCCTCAATTCCAACTCTCTCCTTGAACCTCTTCAATCTGGTTTCCGCCCTCTCCACTCTACTGAGACTGCGCTTATCAAAGTTACTAACGACCTAATTGCAGCTAAATCCAAAGGCCACTACTCCATACTAATTCTTCTTGACCTCTCAACGGCCTTTGACACCGTTGATAATGCTCTCGTTCTTCAAACTCTTCAATCACTTGGTCTCTGTGACTCTGTCCTCCTGTGCTTTTCCTCTTATCTCTCCCAATGCTCATTCAGTGTCTCTTTTTCTAATGATACCTGCTCCCCATGTTCTGTCTCGGTTGGAGTCCCCCAAGGCTCTGTCCTTGGTCCCCTTCTATTTTCTCTTTATACTGCCTCTCTTGGCAAACTTATTACCTCTTTTGGATTCCACTGCCACCTGTACGCTGATGACACCCAGTTATATCTCTCCTCCCCGGACATCTCCCCTGCCGTCCTGCAACGTGTCACTGCTTGCCTTTCTTCCATCTCTGACTGGATGTCCTCCCGCTTTCTCAAACTCAATCTCTCTAAAACTGAGCTCCTTGTCTTTCCTCCTCCTAATACTGATCCTTCCTCTTTCGCTCTCCCTTCAAGTTTGTGGTACCTCACCTTTGAGCCTCACATCCAGCATGTTGCCAAATCCTGTAGATTCCATCTTAAAAACATAGCCCGCATCCGCCCCTTTCTTGCACCAGATACTACCAATGAGCTTGTCCATGCTCTAGTAATTTCCTGCATGGATTATTGTAACCCTCTCTTGATTGGTCTTCCCAAAAGCCGTACTGCACCACTACAGTCCGTAATGAACGCTGCTGCCAGACTGATTTTCCTCTCTAGTCGTTTCTCTCACACCTCACCCCTCTGCCAGTCCTTACATTGGCTTCCTGTATGCTATAGGAGTCAATTCAAGATACTAATTCACACCTATAAAGCACTGAACAACTCTAGCCCCTCTTATATCTCCTCACAGATCCATAGGTATGTCCCTTCTCGGTCTCTCCGCTCTGCCCGTGACCACCTCCTGTCCGTTGTCCGCACCCGTACGGCCAACTCATGCTTGTAGGACTTCACGCGGACGGCTCCCTTCCTATGGAATACCCTGCCTACCGCCATCAGACTCTCCCCTAGTCTTGCATCTTTTAAGAAGTGCCTTAAAACCCATCTCTTTAGGAAAGCTTAAGGCCTCCCAGAGTAACCTCTACCTCCCATACCTGTCTCTTGCTCTCTCCTAAAGGGTAGCCCATCTTATTTGACTGCAAATTCCTGTCCTAATGTGTTTTACACCCCACCTCCTATAGAATGTAAGCTCAATTGAGCAGGGTCCTCTTCAACCTATTGTTCCCGTAAGTTTATTTGTAATTGTCCTATTTATAGTTAAATCCCCCTCTCATAATATTGTAAAGCGCTACGGAATCTGTTGGCACTATATAAATGGCAATAATAATATATATATATATATATATATATATAAACAAAGAAGGATCCAGGATGCACTCACAGGACTTGGACAAAAATAATGTGGTTTATTTAAATAATGTGCATTCAGCAAACAAAAAACGACGTTTCGACCTCTGCGGGTCTTTTTCAAGGTTACTGTGACATCTAAAACATTAAATAGGTGTAAGTGCACTTACCAATCGTTGTGAATCCCTTTACCAATACCTGGAAGTGTGTTAGGACCGCCTACATGATGTCATCACAGGTTCACGTCCGGCAGAGTACAAACGTGATCACCATGGAGACCTACTATGCTAATGTGTAGGAGCGCAATTCTGTGTATAGAAAGTGAGCCAAGGGTTGTAGTGAGAGGACATCAAGACAGAAGATCCACAGAGTTAATAGAAAATAGGCAAAAACATGCCTAAATAGGTGCCATGGTGATCACGTTTGTACTCTGTCAGACGTCAACACGTGATGACGTCATGTAGGCGGTCCTAACACACTTCCGGGTATCGGTGAAGGGATTCACAACGAAACTGATTGGTAAGTGCACTTACACCTTATATATATATATTTAATGTTTTAGATGTCACAGTAACCTTGAAAAAG